GTCCGAATCGTTTCCATGGAAACCGGGAAAAATTAAAATGCCAAAAATCTGCAAATAGCAAAAGGCACCACTTTAGGATCTGTTTGATATATCTACCATGTTTTGTTGAGAAATACTGAACGGTTCTTGAGTTATGCTCCGGAAACGAAAGCAATCCTTACTTTTTGAGACTAAGTCGGGAAAAATAAAATGACAAAAATCTGCAAATACCAAAAGGCACCACTCAAGGTTCTGTTTCATATATCTACCAAGTTTTGTTGAAAAATATTGAACGGTTCTTGAGTTATGCTCCAGAAACGAAGCCCACCCCTCACTTTTGGGACTAAGTCCGAATCGTTTCCATGGAAACCGGGAAAAATAAAAATGCCAAAAATCTGCAAATAGCAAAAGGCACCACTTTAGGATCTGTTTGATATATCTACCATGTTTTGTTGGAAAATATTGAACGGTTCTTGAGTTATGCTCCGGAAACGAAAGCAATCCTTACTTTTTGAGACCAAGTCCAAAATGTTTCCATGGAAACCGGGAAAAATAAAAATGACAAAAATCTGCAAATAGCAAAAGGCACAACTTTAGGATCTGTTTGATATATCTACCATGTTTTGTTGAGAAATACTGAACGGTTCTTGAGTTATGCTCCGGAAACGAAAGCAATCCTTACTTTTTGAGACTAAGTCCAAAATGTTTCCATGGAAACCGGGAAAAATAAAAATGACAAAAATCTGCAAATACCTAAAGGCACCACTCAAGGTTCTGTTTCATATATCTACCAAGTTTTGTTGAACAATATTGAACAGTTCTTGAGTTATGCTCCGGAAACGAAGCCCACCCCTCACTTTTGGGACTAAGTCCGAATCGTTTCCATGGAAACCGGGAAAAATAAAAATGCCAAAAAGCTGCAAATAGCAAAAGGCACCACTTTAGGATCTGTTTGATATATGTACCAAGTTTTGTTGAGAAATACTGAACGGTTCTTGAGTTATGCTCCGGAAACGAAAGCAATCCTTACTTTTTGAGACTAAGTCCAAAATGTTTCCATGGAAACCGGGAAAAATAAAAATGACAATAATCTGTAAATAGCAAAAGGCACCACCTTAGGTTATGTTTGACATATCTACTAATTTTGGTTAAAAAATATCGAACGGTCTTTGAGTTATGCTCCGGAAACAAAATGATTACGGACGGACAGACGGACGAGGCGACGACTATATCCCACCGTATTACATGCCGGTGGGATAAAAACACAAACTACGTTGGGACCAGATTTTTAGACCGATTTGAACTTGGTTCCAGGTTTCACAAATAACAACATTGAGACTTTCATTCCTTGACCAGAGTTATTTCCCTTAGATTATCGAACGCATCCTGAACCAGTGTAAGCTGGGCTCGGTCTCTCATATTTGCAAGCTGACAGGCGCACAGAGCGCCGGGAACCAGCTTAGGATCAGAGCGGCATGTCTAGTCGTCTGCTTGTCGAAGGGACTGACTTTTAGAACATATAGCAGTCAAAGGGGCTTGCATTGCTGAAAACAGTACGTTCTAGGTCCAACAATCGGGAAAGAGTATTTCCATTCACCCGTATTATTTCTTCCGCAGATTAACAGAGGTAAAGCAATGTGGTTAGACCCTGTAGATTTTGGGGCTTTTAGTTATTTTTGTGTTAGTGTTTTGTTAGGCCAATCAAAAAAATTATGTGGTTCCGATTACACCTCTTTAAATTTTAGGGTAAGTAGGTAGGAATTCTTTTTTTTCACATTTCATTTTTAGAAGTAAAGTACATTTATCAATGTGTAATTGTTTATTCAATCAAGCTTGAGGCCATCATGTTGACTTTGTCTATCAGAATGGCCAATGTCTGTTGGTGCCGAAAAATCAATGGTATCTAAAAGCTTATTTTATTCATACCTCTTAAAAAAACTAGGGTCTACACCAGAATTCAAGGGTCGGTTGGGTAATCGGAACCACAACAATTATTTTTAGGCCTTAATAACTTTAGTATATATTAATTTATAGATATTTTTTAGGATGGGGGAACGGGAGGAACTCTTACCAACACTCGTTCGCTGATAGCCATACATAAGTTTATATGTAGATGCTACCAGCGAACGAGTGTTGGACCCAGGACGTATTATTTTCAGCAAATATCATATTCACCAACCGTTTGGAAGGATGCAAACTTCGGTTTTCTGAAAGGAAGTGTCAAGGTAATTTACACAGCTGTTACTTTTTGTTGTTTTCTGTGACTTATTTACTCAACTAAAGTTTGTTGATGTAAAGATGAAATCTGGTCGACACACATTAAGGCTGTAACGATTCACTCGCATATTCGGTGAATCGAACCGTAGCCCTTCATGAATTCAATTCGTTATTCGTGGTCACCAGAACCGAATATTCATGAATATTTACAATTTTTAAGGGAGTGTGTTTTACTTGAACCCTTATGTCCTTTTTCAAAATGAGATATGCAAGAATGCATTGTGTACTAGCCTTGTAGTAGCACAAGTCATGTTAGTTTGCCAAGGTCGCACATAGTACTTACTGTCAACTTAACTATTACATACCAAATTTGAGTGTATTAAGATGACTGGTTATTGCTGTGACAAATTAACACTGTCAACATGGGCATTCAATATTGTGCATCAGTCATTGTATTCATGAATAATTATTCATATTCGTTTACCCAATATCCGTGATACGTATCATATTCGCAACATAGTGTATTCGTTACAGCCCTAATGCAGTAAATTATCAACTATAAATATCTGCAAGGCCCCATTGGGATATGTTTACACGTCCCTGCATAAACTCAAAAGCAAAGGTTAATGATTTGTTGCATTTACATTTTATATATACATGTAATTATATTTATATTGGGATATGTTCGTGAAAATATCATGGATCATAGGGTTTCAAAACTTCGCATTTTTGGGCGACAGTGTTAACACTGGTTTCAATGAGTAAAAGGGCGACTGCGTCATACAGACATTGAATACTCAGATGATGGCTTGTGTTTAAGATGAAGTTGTCAGAGTCTATAATAAGTGTGACATGTTGTACAATTGGTCATCTGAAAATCCAGACAACATCGAATGTTAAAAGCGGCTGAAAAACTTGCAAGAACACTACTGCCCCAACTAAATGTCACTTGTATGTCATTTCCCAAGTTATTGGATACATTGCTTAATATTCTCTATCCATTGCCGGATATCTAACCCCATACTGTTGCCAGTATTAGGTCAACTGAGACTTCCTTACACTTAGGTCGTCTGAAAACCAGAGTGCTTTAGGTCCCCCAAAAACACTTATGTCCGAGAAAAACGATTTCATCTATGAACATATTTTTCAATTATGAAAAGACTCCACGCCGAACTTATGTGAACTCACACAATGGATGTCTTTCCTTTATGAAGATTTGTTACTAATTTCAGTACTTTGCAGATGTACACTATATTTATCCAATATGCAATACACTCAGCTATGAGTATTTATAAAATGCCAATCAAACAGATCATATTAATGTCAGTGAGGATTTTGGAACCATAGTGACCTTGTGTTTCAACTGTTGGGTTTGTCCGAGAGGGCATGTGTTATTAGCTTGGTGAATATCCAATCAGAAAATGTCAAGTCAATATATAGTACTATATGCTAACTTTCACAAAACATTCACAGTAAACCAATCATATGGCAGAACAATGACAATAAGATATATGCATGTAAAACAGTGTGTTAGCTAAGTACATTAAGCAAGTGTGATATTCATCTGATTACAAATACCCTACACCAAATGCCATAATAGCAATAAACCTATGATCTCATGACAATCCTGACAATTTGAAAACAATGTATTGGATGGTATCTGTAAGAAACAGATCAACCTAACGGCCTTCTATTAATCACTAAAAAGAGCTGGAACCCCAAGAATGAAAGTTGACTTTGTTTTGCATGGGGATGTGTTTTGTAAAAATTATAAGTACTGTTATAGTCAGAGGAAAAATATCAGCTCTTAGTAGGGTTGTGTATTGACCCAAATTATATATTGCGATAAGCTCTTCTGTACGGCAATACATATTGCAATATATTCTGAAAGAAAAGTTATTGAGATCTATCCACTTTGTAATATTCAGACCTGAATTCTTTTACCTTCAAATTGAATCACAGAATATGTGAGTAACCATTGTGCATTAAATAGCTTCTTTCAAAGTAAAAAAATGGAAAAAACATCCATCTGTAGTGAGAGCAGCCTGTTATTTAATTAGTGAATGTAATTTTCACAAAATAGGTTTATATTTAAATAAATAATCTAAATACCGGATAATACAATGTACAATTTGTAATTATTCTGATAATTTACAAATAAATAAATTATAATTTACAATACAACTATTTAATTATTTATTACATTTTTAAGTTAATTTTAAAGTATACATAGATCTTAAAAACCCATAAAAAACCTGTTCAGCTTCAGCCAGTTTTTCAGCAACTTTTGGTTTCATTTCCTAGTACATATTAAGAATAACCCTCTCACACTATTTTATATCGAGACACTGGGTAAGCTTTCAAAATTGAGGGGAATCCACAATATTGCATGGATGCAGTAATTTGATAATAAAACTAACTACCTTAGTATTTAACAAGCTGGCTTTGGGCGAGTTATTTGAGTACATTTTCCAGCTTGTGAAAATGTGAGATATTGAAGGCTGTGACGATGCATGAATAAGCAGTGTTGTCTTTTGAGCAGTGACAGATTTCTTGCTTCTGTCGACTGAGGTAGAAAGCATTGCCGAATGATGTATCCGCATGTCCATTGACAAATTGCTTGTTCCCGCCGCGTACTTCATGCTGACATTACTTCCCTAACCGATAGCAATGTTTTCTTCCACTTTTCCATTCAATTTCCACTTTTTTAAATCCGAAATGATCCCACACAAGCTGGAATTCCGTATGTTCTCCATCCACCATTTCCAAACAAATCAAGGGAGATAACAACATAAGCACATTACTTACGTTACACTGAAGGTATGTTTGCGCAGATCCGTCACAATGACAATGCAGCTTTGGTAAAAGGATGAACAAGATCAGTTTTATGTGAGTTTAAATTGAACAAAGAAATCTTTGTCAGTAAACTGGTATATCATAACGTATCGCTGTACGTAATTGTTACAATTTTGTACTGCAGTTTCCTGGTATACAGGTAATACTGTGCAGCTCTAGCTTTTAGTGCTAACAGATGATGGATAGGTGATCAATGAATGGATGAAAACATGTAGATGTGGTACACGAGGAGCAATTAATAACATTTCTTCAGTTACTCATAATAGTTTTTCTTATTAATTCTTTTGAAGGGGGATGAGGTAGAATATCACAGCATATATGCAGTTTAATAGCCTGCCACTACTGACCCCTATCCAAGCATCTGCGGAGTGATTGCCTGTCCTCAGAAAGCCCTATCACACCCTCTACAATATGATAGCCAAATCCTCCATTAAGCCTATAACACTTAGAACTAACCTTTAGCAAACATGTCATTGTATCCAAAATGCACAGTTAATGTCATAATGTCAATCACTGGATTGCCTGTCACTGTCATATAGCTGGAATATTCCTTAGGGTGGCCTTTAACATGCAAACAAGGCACTATCCCAGCATATTGAAAATGACTGCCACAACTGCAACACAGCCAGCCAGCACTAAACTGGCAACCATGGCAGTCACAGATGGCATGATCTGCTCTACCCATGAAGTCGGGAGGGGCCTGGCAGGGAAGTCTTCTGATTCTGGTTCATCTTGCATAATCTCTGATTCTTTAATCTTACCCTCAGCAAATAACACCTGCAAATAAGAAACTGTTTCTTCAAGTAACAACTTAATAAGAATGTATAGCCTGTCAATCTAACATTTGGGACACCCCATTTGTCAAATATCTTCCAAATAACACCAACTGACCACATGCCATATCTGTATATATCTTAATGATCCTCTTTGAGGTAATAAGAAAAAATAGTTTTAACTTTGTTGGTCACTTGGGGAAAAGTTTGGTGTCAAGAGACGGTTTGTAGTCGCAATAAACGTAACAGCTTACGGGATAGGTCAAGCCCGGGTGTACACCAGTAGAAAAAGCCCAGGCATACATACGATTTTTGGTAAAAAGGTTGAACAAGACCTCAATACTATCTAAATCTAAATCTTTCGGGCTTACACGACAAAAAATGGCTTGCTACGCGCCTGGCATTCATATCTACACCAGTGGCACCCATGTCAGATGTCCACACCAGTGACCCCCATGTATACAGCAGTGACCCCCATGTCCCCACCAGTGGCCACCATGTCCACACCAGTGACCCTCATGTCCACACCAGTGTCCCCCATGTCCACACCAGTGACCCTTATGCCTACACCAATGGCCCCCATGTCTACAGCAGTGACCCCCATGTCTACAGCAGTGACCCCCATGTATACAGCAGTGACCCCCATGTCCCCACCAGTGACCCCCATGCCCACACCAGTGTCCCCCATGTCCACACCAGTGTCCCCCATGTCCACACCAGTGACCCTTATGTCTACACCAGTGACCCCCATGTATACAGCAGTGACTCCCATGTATACAGCAGTGGCCCCCTCTCCATGTTTACACCAGTGGCCCCCATGTCTACACCAGTGGCCACCTCTCCATGTCTACACCAGTGGCCCCCATGTCTACACCAGTGACCCCCTCTCCATGTTTACACCAGTGTTCCCATGTCTACACCAGTGAACCCCTCTCCATGTCTACACCAGTGACCCCCATATCTACACCAGTGTTCCCATGTCTACACCAGTGGCCCGCACGTCTACATCAGTGAACTTATGTCTAAACCAGTGACACCCTGTCTACACCAGTGTTCCCCATGTCTACACCAGTGACCCCCTCTCCATGTCTACACCAGTGACCCCCATGTCTACACCAGTGTTCCCATGTCTACACCAGTGGCCCGCACGTCTACATCAGTGAACTTATGTCTAAACCAGTGCCACCCTGTCTACACCAGTGTTCCCCATGTCTGCACCAGTGACCCCCTCTCCATGTCTACACCAGTGACCCCCATGTCTACACCAGTGTTCCCATGTCTACACCAGTGGCCCGCACGTCTACATCAGTGAACTTATGTCTAAACCAGTGCCACCCTGTCTACACCAGTGTTCCCCATGTCCCTTATGTCCAGACCAGTGGCCCCTATGTCTATACCATTGGCTCTTATGTCTACACCAGCTGCCCCCATGTGTGACCCACCTCTCTGGCTGCCCTTTCCCCAGCCTGGATCGCTCCATCCATGTATCCCATCCATTCTGTAGCTGTTTCTGTCCCAGCAAAATACAGACGATGGTGTGGCTTCCTGATTTCCCTGAAGGAAATATATTTCTCCATATGCATAAAATATATCTACACTGAAACAACTTATCACTCTGACAATCTTCTTTAGGTGGCATGATAAAGTAATGTCCACTCATGTGATCAGGCTCGGCAGCTAACGGTTTTATGCAAAATATTAGTTTAAGGCATGACGCCAAGTACCAACTGTCAAGCTGAAGACTTACATACTGCATACTGTATTAGTCAGCTATATATTCCATACTATGCAAGCACTCATGGGAAGGGCAAACAAAACTCCCCACTGAATGCTAAACTGTTGCAGTCACAAATCTTTCATGCTGTGTGACCACCCCCATGGGAGGGGCAATGACGTAATATATCTGTGAAGAAAGCACTTCTCTGCCAGCTGAAACAGCATTATGTCACACGGAATACAATCCATACTTCTAACCCTAAGTAGTGTCAGCTACAAAGCTCCCACTCAATACTGAACCAGTGTATTCTCGAACACACTTCCTTCCATCATGTGCAATGTCATTTAGCTTTCCTTCCATACTGTGTCAGTACTCCAGGAGGAAGTGCGACCGTGTAGCATCCCCCAGAATACTGAACTATTGTAATATCATGTAGGTTACCTCCCATACTGTGTCAGTACTCCAGGAGGAAGTGTGCCCATGTAGCATCCCCCAGAATACTGAACTAGTGTAATGTCATGTAGCTTACCTTCCATACTGGGTCAGTACTCCAGGAGGAAGTGTGCCCATGTAGCATCCCCCAGAATACTGAACTAGTGTAATGTCATGTAGCTTACCTTCCATACTGTGTCAGTACTCCAGGAGGAAGTGTGCCCATGTAGCACCCCCCAGAATACTGAACTAGTGTAATATCATGCAGCTTACCTTCCATACTGTGTCAGTACTCCAGGAGGAAGTGTGCCCATGTAGCATCCCCCAGAATACTGAACTAGTGTAATATCATGTAGCTTACCTTCCATACTGTGTCAGTACTCCAGGAGGAAGCGTGCCCATGTAGCATCCCCTAGAATACTGAACTAGTGTAATATCATGTAGCTTACCTTCCATACTGGGTCAGTACTCCAGGAGGAAGTGTGCCCATGAAGCATCCCCCAGAATACTGAACTAGTGTAATGTCATGTAGCTTACCTTCCATACTGTGTCAGTACTCCAGGAGGAAGTGTGCCCATCTAGCACCCCCAAGAATACTGAACTAGTGTAATATCATGTAGCTTACCTTCCATACTGGGTCAGTACTCCAGGTGGAAGTGTGCCCATGAAGCATCCCCCAGAATACTGAACTAGTGTAATATCATGTAGCTTACCTTCCATACTGTGTCAGTACTCCAGGAGGAAGTGTGCCCATGAAGCATCCCCCAGAATACTGAACTAGTGTAATATCATTTAGCTTACCTCCCATACTGTGTCAGTACTCCAGGTGGAAGTGTGCCCATGAAGCATCCCCCAGAATACTGAACTAGTGTAATGTCATGTAGATTACCTCGCATACTGTGTCAGTACTCCAGGTGGAAGTGTGCCCATGAAGCATCCCCCAGAATACTGAACTAGTGTAATATCATGTAGCTTACCTTCCATACTGTGTCAGTACTCCAGGTGGAAGTGCGACCGTAGCAGCATCCCCCAGAATATTCAGCTTCCATCCAGTTCTTCTCCACATACCCCACAGGCTGAAGAGGTATTGTTTTCAGTGATAAGAAAAGTCCAAAGAGGATTGATGTCAAATAGTCTAAACCAAATATGTTTATCTCTTTCTTAGAATTTACCCATTAAACAATGAAGAGCATAAATGATCAGACAAGAATTCCATATTTCACAAAAACTATTTACAAACATCAAACCCATTACCTCCCAAAACTTTTTGCATTTGAATATATCTGCAAATTGCTGACACAGCTTCTGTTGTCTGAAAAGATGCATAACACCTGTATCACGTCATGATAAAATATATTGAATACTATTCTTGCAACAACAAGGATGAGTGTTTCACATTTACCTTTTCTGATAAGAAAACCATTACATACACTCTAAACATGCTAAAACATTTTAGATTTATAGGCAAACTACATTGCTGATGAATGCATACCATGATGGCATTTGTTAAAGATGTCACAGGTTTTGTGTATAATGATTATCCCAATATTACCATGTTTGTCTTTCTCAGAAGGTTTTGAACTTTGCATGTTAGCATATGTGTGGGAATTCCAGGACAGAATATGTTTCTAGTACGGTGAACATGCTTACAATTTGATATGGAACACTCATGGCCAAGGATGCTGATATGTTATCAACTGGTGGCTCTCTTGGACCAGATCTGATTGTTTAAAGGGTGTTTTCATAGAGATGACTGGCATAAACAGTGACCCACCTCTCTTCCTTTGTAAGTTGACTGAGGCTGCGACACTGGTCAGCCAGGATGAAGGCCATGATCGAAGGATGGGAGCCGTCTGGCTTTGTGTCATCAAAACATGTCGAAGATGGCCCTGTGTCACTCATAGCTATTCCACTCAGATCTGTAAATCATACATCACTAGTGATTCAGTGTTCATGAATGGTGTTTCAAAGTAACAGGACATTGAAGACAGACAGTGTCAGATGTCTGTCTGACCCAGAGGCCCAGATAAGCTGCGTATCCGGGTACAGTACCCACATGAGCTAAATCTTATCTGGAGCTCTGTGATCCATTGAAAATTCACAGAATAAAATTAAACACACATTTCAGATTTAACATTTGTTACAGTTGGCATTGAAATTATTAACAAAGATAAGATTTATAAACAGCAAACAATATGCATGTGTCACATGTCACATATAACATGGTATAAGCTCTTCCACTAATCATCGTAGAGATTTCTGGTAGAACGTCAAAGAGCCCGTGTGACGGCCTTGGCTGCTCTTCTGGTGAGACAGTTCTTAATATGTTCAATGCTTGTAACTGGAAGCCCCCAGGACTGGCGTGAGCCTGTCTTGTGTGTGGATGTATCAGCAGATTTGGCTACTAGGACGTCTGATGAGGTCTGGAAACCACGTTCTCAAACAGGTCTATTAATTGACAGCCTTCATCCCGTTTTAGTAGTTGGAAGACCTGGGATGCGTTGTGCAGTCTCCACGGCTGTGGCAGTTAAGACGATGACGCAAGTGAGCATCCCAGATGTAGCAGACCTGGGCCTGGGTGGTAACTCTTGGATGGCCGCTTCTCGGGCGATCTTGGGCGGAATTAGTTTTCAGGAAACGATCCCAAAAGCGAGATATGGAGCTCTGATGAACGTTGAAATGTCGGGTAACTACAGACTGCGACTCCGAAGCTTCAAGGCGACCCTTGGCGATGTTTCGATTGGTGCCACTCAGTCGTGGAATGATGATTTCCTCTTTTCCAGGCAAAAACGAATGACAAAATTAACCACACGTGCCTTTTTATAGTGATCAATGCCGCATGCCTTTCCGCTTACATGCACGCACATTTTGCTTTGCACGTTTTCTTGGTGACGTTCTTGCGAATACTTCTTTAAAAGCTTCTAAAACAAGGGGAAAAGTTAAAATTGGCGCTGAAGCTGTTTACAGTCACACAAAGATGACGTTTTCGAAAGAAATAGTATATTTGTTTTGTTTTTGCCGCAGCTACATGAGTCGAATATTCTCAAAATGCCCTATGCGTTTTCTTTTTGAAGAGTGTATGCTCATGCTTACACAATATTCTCATTCCATTAGCAATTAAATTGACATGACGGTGACCTTGATGACATGTCGCGAGCTTAAGCAGCTCATCTTGATTGGCTGATTAATGAATTGGTTGAGTGCGTGTCATCTCAGCCGACGGATAAAACCTTCTTCGAAGTGTACAAACTAATTACAAAGGGGAGGGCACTTGTCTTGGTTCGAATTTCGGTTGTTCGATCCTTGGGCGCATCATACCATAGGCATTACTAGATGGTACTTGCTGTTCCCCTGCCTGTTGCTCGTCATTAAGGGGAACAAAACAACATGGGGAACAGGTCAGCTACGCGTCATTATGTCATGCGTGAGTATGGTATCTCAGCTGTGTAGATAAGAAACCAGCATCAGTTCTGACTACTACACACATTAGACACACTTACACGTGTGCATGCACTTAGGTATGTAGGAGCAGTATTTTGGAACCCGTCATACGAAATGACAGATTCAATACCATGGAATAGAACTACATGGTCGTGTGTGGTCTTTGCTGGGGTATTTCCTCCAAACCAGCCACAGAAACAGCAAATTTGTTAAGTTTCAACATAGATGTGACAACACAGGTTCCCATTTCAACCATTTTATTATGAAATTATGAAAAGCAACATTATATGTCAAAAATGGACAACAATACATTCACGTTCTGCTTCATTCGAGAACAAAACATAAAATATATTGAAAAATAGTATCTCTGATAAAAAAGTGTCTGTGTAAAATAAATGAGCAATGGCACTTAGTTTCCAGCGTTGTTTCCCTTAGATTTGTCGAACGCATTCTGAGCCAGAGTAAGCTGGGCCCCGTCTCTCAAGGTGACGCGCGCATATATAGGGCGCCGGGAACTAGCTAAGCATCAGGGCGGTATGAAAACTGGTCGTCTGCTTGTTGAAGGGGCTGACTTTTAGAACATATAGCAGTCATAGGGTCTTGCATTGCGGAAAATAATACGCTCCACGTCCAACGCTCGTTCGATGACCTAGGACGTATTATTTTCAGCAAATATCATATATTCACCAACGGTTTGGAAGAAAGAAGCAAACTTCGGTTTTCTGAAAGGAACTGTCAAGGTAACTTACACACAGACCCGTGCAAGAAGTATTCGGACACTTGACGTAATTTCCATAGACTTACCTGTTATTTCAGTGTAGCATAAATAATTTTCATGAAGTGAGTTTAGGATGGATCTTTGTAAAACGTGACAGGCAAATTTGAAATCATCTCTGCTCTTTGCACATAATTTCAGTTCAATTTTCTGACTACTATTTAACTAATGACATCACATTTATCAACTTACGTATGGTTCCACAATGCACAATCACATAGGCCGCCATGTTAAGGAGATCACGGCACTGTACATATGTTGATTAAATTGTTGCCATTCCATAAATAATCAACGGAAAATTAAACAGAAATTGTGTGATTGTAGGTAAGATGATTCCTCACAAATGTGCAAAATTTGACTTGGATCATACGCAAATTAAATTCATGAAAATTATTTATGCTACACTAAATTAAGATGTACGTCTATGGAAATTACGTCCAATGTCCGATTACTTTTTGTGTAGAGTTTCAAACGTCATGCTTTCGGGCGACAGCTTTAACACCGGCTTCAATGAATTAAAGGACGATTACGCCACACAGACATTAAATACACGGATGATGGCATGTGTTTAAGATAAAGTTGTCTTATAAGTTAGTGACATGTTTTACAAATGTTATTCTGACAATCGAGACAACATCGTATGCTAATAAGCGGCCGAAAACCTTGCAAGAACACTACAGCATGTGTATGTCATTTCTCAAGTTAATGGAAATCGATCTTGAAGTTTAGAACAGCAATATTTTCAAACCTGTCAAATTCCTTGGAATTGTGCACATGCATGTGTACATGTAATATTAACATAAAACTTGGAATGTAACCAAAATAAAGAAGAAATATACAACAAACAAAACAAAACAAAATACAACAACAAAAAACGCTTGGAGATTGAACACAAGATAGATAGATTTGTAATTTTGTTCAGAACCAGAGTGTTCTATGTATCAGAAATACAGCTGAATCATTATTGTACGATTTTTGTACGATTATCTCTCCCGTGCCAGGTTGTATTTTTGTTGTTTCAAGTTGTTTTAGTTTCAAAGCTTACTTATTACATCAAATATATCATAATCTTGCCTTTATGAAGATTTGTGTTACCACTTCAAAGATGTACACTATATCTTTTATATCTATAGAGCATGCATAAGTGCGTGGATACAGGTGCATCATAAATGTCCATTAATATAATATTATTTATATTGTTATTAGCTTGTTGGATATCCAATAAGAAAATGTCATGTCAAGATAAACTAGCTATATGTTAATTTTCACAAAACATTCAAAGTAAACCAATCATATGGCAGAACAATTACAATAAAATATATATGCCTGCTTAGGAGCGTGTTAACTGAGTGAATTAGGCAAGTGTGAGATTCATCTGATTACAAACACACTACTTCTACCAAATGCCCAAACAACAATAAAATACTAAAAGTCTTCTGAACATTTAAAAACCATGTATTGGATGGTAACTGTTACGAAAATATTTCCGCTTTTAGTCCTAACAGGTGACGAATACGAGGTCGATGAATAGATGAAAACACATTGATGTGTTAAACAAGGAACAATTACTAACATGTAATCATAATAGTTTTTCCCATTTTTTTTGGTTTTGAGGGTGTATGGGTAGAATATTACAGCACAAGCAGATAAACAACCCTAACCCAGCATTTGCGGATTAATTGCCTGCCACCAAAAAGCCCTATCACACCCGAAGCTCCACTAAGTCTATCATGCTTAGAACCGACCTCCACCACACACGTCATTGTATCCCAAGTGCGCAGTTAATATCATAATGTCAATCACTTGATTGCCTGTCACTGACATATACCTGGAATATTTGCTTAGTGTGGCTTTAAACAAATAAACCACTATCCCAGCATCTTGAAAATGACTGCCACAAAAGCAACACAGCCAGCCAGTACTACACTGACAACCACGGCAGTCACAGATGGCATGTTCTGTTCTATCCATGAAGTCGGGAAGGGCGTGGCAGGGAAGTCCTCTGATTCTGGTTCATCTTGCATAATCTCTGATTCTTTAATCTTACCCTCAGCAAATAACACCTGCAAATAGCATAGTAACCACTTAATAAGAATGTAGATGTACAATAATCATCCCTAAAGTTGGGTTTTAACCTTGAATTTACACATATAAAAACTGATTGATTCACTACACAGGGATCACCCATATACCTGTGACCTCCCACTTCATACCTACACCTGTGACCCTCTAGTCCATGTCTACACCTGTGACACCCTCTTCATGTCTACACCTGTGACCCCTCACTCCACGTCTACACCTATGACCCCCCACTCCATGTCTACACCTGTGACCCCTGTCCATGCCTACATCTGTACACCTGTGACCCCCCACTCCATATCTATACCTGTGACCCCCAGTCCATGTCTACACCTGTGACCCCCACTCCATGTCTACACCTGTGACCCCCTGTCCATGCCTACAACTGTGACCCCCCACTCCCATATCTACACCTGTGACCCCCCCCCTCTCCATGTCTACACCTGTGACCTCCCACTCCATGTCTACACCTGTGACCCCCCCACTCCATGTCTGCACCTGTGACCCCCACTCCATGTCTGCACCTGGACCTCCCGCTCCATGTCTACACCTGTGACCCCCACTCCATGTCTACACCTGTGACCCCTCACTCCATGTCTACACCTGTGACCCCCCACTCCATGT